GAAAAACGATACAAGTAGGATACTGATGTAATCGAGGAGCATTAAGAAGATTTTTAAAGAGTTACCTTGCTCAGAGAAATCGCCAATGATCTTGATGCTGTTAATACGTCCAAGATGAACACATTCGACCTTGAATGAGTACTCCTGAAATAGAAATAGCTTGAGGGTAAAATGCGCTTCATTGGACTCAAATTATCGGGTAAATTGAAATGTCCAAAAAAGAGAAATGAAAAAGTTTGTTTGGGCGGAAAGAAATAAGCAAATTCGAATGGAAAATGTTGCACAGGTCTCACTAAAGGCACCGTTAACGCTAATGTAACGGGCGGGGTCAGGCCACTATCGCGCCTCAATCATCGCTTCACCTCTTCTAAGCCGGAGATAAAGAGCAGGATTCTGATGAAACACATGCGAGGCGAGCCCGGTTCCGCCCATGTGATTTGCATGGAATGTGCCAGGGCAGCTATAATCTACCAATCCCGTCCGGGAAAAAACCCTTGTTCATCCTACCAGGTATGTGAGAGAAGCGCGTCTGAATCCTTGGAGTTTTAGGAACACACGAGACATCTATTTTAATAGAGGGAATCCGTGATATGACACTTGCACTTGACCTGTTATGGGCTTAGGTGATGTACTGGCAAGCGGCTCACCTACCGTGTGCACGAGCTGAGGGACGAAATCTCGTATCGCTTCAAGCTGACCACACTTTCTACTTTCCGGAGCCGGTAAATTGGTAGCGCTTTGTGCGGAAGGATAAAAACAGTGACTTGCACCTGGCTGCTCCTTAAGTCATTCAATTTGGCCATTTCATATACATCAGCGTCAGCGTTTTACGACTTAGGGAATAGAATACATGCCAAAAGAGATTAGCCGTGAAAACCCCACTGCTTGATGTTAGCTTTATGTCTCACGACTGATAAGTAGTCCAGCGATTTTACTGTTCATTATAACTACGTCCCCTCTAAATGTATCGGCTCGGCGACGGACAGGGGATACAGTACCCCCAGAACGAGCGTGAATTTAAGTGCGGTACGAGTTGCCAAAATGTACACACACTGCCCAGCATTGCAGCTCAGACAAAGAAGGCTGATGTAAAGATGGAAGACGGAATCAGTGTTCGCTTCCTAGGCCTACGAAATTACAAGACCAAAGCTGTGCTAGGAGATAGTACACGGGCCAACAAATAAGGTTACTAAACCGGCCATGGTATGATCAATCATGTGAAATGACGAGCTGCCACAGCTGATTTCGCGCGAAATTTTTGGATCACTGTGTCCCATCTGTTCTTCAATCTTGTATATTGTCACATTTTCTCGCTCACCTTTTTCTTCTCGTTGTAGATTAGCGGGAATACACCGCTGTCACTAAAATCACCGACGAGTTGTGCCTCTAGCTTCCCGTTTTCAAGCAGACTCATATCGCCGCCGAGAACTTTGCCATCGTAATTTTGCACTGAAACTCGAATATCGTTTCAAACGAAGAACTCAAGATTGTGCTTTTTGAACACCAACTTTCCAAAGGTTGATCCCCAGATCGGAAGATGCTGATCTCTCGAAACGCTTGAGGCTTCTTCGTGCGCTTGCCGGTGATGTCCATCCATTTGCCGACCCTAAAATGGTAGCAGCTTGAAAAGGGGAAAGCTGTAGCGAAGTACTTGTTGAGATGAATGCAGTGCTAGTTAAAGTGATGGGAATGACCCGAATCCGTGTCTTATATTCCTCGAGAACTGAACTGAAGGGGCTAGAACTGCGTACACCGCAGGTCAAGCGTTTGGCGTTAAGCTGCACTCATACTTTACGGCAGCGTCCACCAGAGCTAGCTTTCGGCAGCGTCAGCTACTAGGAAAGTATAGACATCGATTTAGCATCTGCCAGCGTTCACCAGCGACCAGCAGCGGACTGCCGGTAGAGAGTATGTTGCGATAGGAGGGTACCTGTCTACTACCCTCCTATCGCGCTTACTCTCTACCAGCAGCCTGCTACCCTCCTATCTCCCCATACTCTATCAGCTATCTGCTACTCTCCTATCGCCCCATGCTCTCAGTTCCCGGATGTTGCTGGTCAATGGCAGGCGCTGGCATGCTTGGATAGATACCTATACTTCCCGAGCTCTCGAGACGCTGCTGGTCGCTGGTGACGCTGGCAGACGCTAGATCGATATCTATACTTTCCTAGTCGCTGACGCTGCCGGACGCTCGGAACGCTGGTGGACGCTATTGGTCGCTGGTGGACGCTGCCGCAAAGTATGAACGCAGCCTCACCGCTGACGTTTCAGGACACTGATTTCGCACAGTCGTTTTAACTGCAGACGCTTAGTCGTGTCAGAGGACTGAGTTTGGCGCGGCATAAGCCCATTCTCCATCAATTGTTGAAGCGGACAAGAGACAACAATTGGTGAAAAACGGACTGGCATGGTTGGTTTGCTCCGAGCACAAATTCACAGTTTAGGAAATTCTCAAAAGCAATACCCGGCAAATCTTCGGCAGTACAGAAAGTCTGAGAAGTAATCTTATCAACTCAACCCCGGTATGTCTTACCTCACAGCTATCCTCTCCTCAGTGTCAAGATCGCGTAGCTCGATCCATTCCAAGTAATAATCCGGTTCATCACCAGATCCATCTGCTTCAAACCGAACTTTGAGAAGGTCACCAATAGCACCGAAATCCACCTGTAACATGTCTCGTTCTGCTTCCACCATTTGTTTTAATTCGTCAAGAGAACTACTGTTAGTATACAAATACAACATAAGTGTTGTATTCAATTTCGGGTTTATTCGTATGTCAGACCACCTTCAGAATGGTTGTACGATTCTGAGTAGCAAACAAATGTATGGCATAATCTAAAAAGCTCACCAGTGATCCCTCCTCTACTATTCCGTTGTTTGTTCTACTACGTTCAACAGTGCTGGAGCTCGTTCTCAAGTCTCATTTCAATTGAGCAGTTTCTTTACCTGTATAAGTGTAGTATCCGGTACAGTAGACATGGTTTTGTCGTTTTTGATATGCATCATTGAGCTGCCCGTTGTCCCGTAGCCGATGATGTTCAGGTTTGAGGTCGTTCCACCAGTACCATCTTCCATCCCATTGTGCAGAATGAACTCCCATCGACCTTCTAAATACGGTTTCACTTTTACTGGGTTGCAAGTTCTCTCAGAAGTCATACATAGGTTGTGCAATCCTGGATCATAACTTCAGTCCATATCCCGGAGGTGGAAAGGGCGTGACTCAATGTATCACTTGCACATAACTTTACTTGTGTCTTTCCTGGAAAGTTTCCGTCCGTCTGAAAAAAGTGTTTCATGCCGTGTGCTGGACACAGGCTTGAGAACAAGTATCCCAAAACGATGAGATGCCACTGAAAGCGGAGCTGCAGCCTCGTTCAAATCTAGTACGCAGCCACGCCTCTCCATCTCCGTGGTATAGTGACCTTCAGAAGACGTAATTGTCTTAGTGCGATTTCTGATACAATTATTCTGGATCATGCCTTCGAGCAGTTCTTTTGTCTATCACGGCTGAGGCTTTGATAGAACCTACGTGATGTCATCGATTCATCGGGGACACTATTAAGGTAGTAGAAGGCCGACACTGGTAGGGTCCGCTCGATTTTCCCATCAACCTGAAACTCGCCTTCATTGGAAATAAAAACTGGATTACTAAGTATGCACCCGACCTGTCCACTATCGAACCACTTTGAGCAATAGCACACGAATTGACGGCCGTCTATCAAGTTTTCAGTGATCAGCACGTATTCGATGAAAATGCCAGCACCTTCAATAGCAAACGTTAGGAAATTTGAACAAGGGTCATAGAAGGAAAATCCTAGGGCGAAAGTGATCAGTACCTAGTTCGTAAAAGAAAGAATGGAACCCTCAGATGTGCACAGTCCTAAGGAAAATCGGAAACCAACGTTCTACCGTAATCACATACCGTAACCCTCCTCTTCATGTCCAATGATGATCTGATTGATGGTGCCAAGGTCTTCAGTTTCGATGTGGAACGAGTCCATATGACGCTGCCGGAATCGCGTGTCGCCACTCTGCAACCATTCGGCCTAGACAGCAGGTGATCACGAATACTGGCAATTTAAAAGTTAACTCAGCCCACGGTTATAAAGAGTAGATGCTAGGTGACATGGGGGACGAGCTCATAGGGAATAGGAGTAAATAAGATTTCATGGGCAATTTGAAAGCAGACCAATGCCCTTATCCTTTATAAAGAGTGGATGATCGAGAAGGTGGCACTTCCATAACTAGGGGAGGGGTTGGTGTCGAGGATAATGTAGCCTCGTTTGTGAATAGCCTTTTGGCGCGGGAAACCGTCTCATGTCATGTGACGTCTCGCCGGCTGAATACGTCTTCCGTCTAGAGTGCTTCTATTACGAGTTACTTAGTTTTGAAGCTCTCTTATCTGGTAAGGATTGATAGTGTTTCTGTAGTTCTGGCTCGGACTTTCCCCTTGACTTTTGACCTTAGGTACACTCCTTATCCCTGAGACGGAGTAGGCGTGGCATTTGAACATGGCATAGGATGGGTTACTCGTGGGATATTTCAGTTTGAGACAACTGTCATCTTGTTCTGTGTTGAACAGACATGATCACAATTGTGTCAAAATGAAAATATCTCACCAGAAGCACAAGCACCGCCACGTTAAGCTGAAGTACGCAGCCACGCCTACCGCATCTCGGGGAATTTCAAGATGCGGTAGGCGTGGCTGCCTACTTCAGCTCTTTTTTTACAATGCCTGGTGCTTGAATATAAACTGAACGCTCACCTCCGTATGCCTTGATCAGTCCGTGTGGCATGTCACTTTTTGCGCTCAAAGATGCACGGGAACGGTGCAGAAAGGTAGTGATACCCTGGTGCTAACTCCATACTCCGCCTCGCGCTGCCGCAGCCCTTGCCAAAGCGCGCTACTTGCCTGTGCCCTCTCACTTCTGGCTGTTCTCTACCGCTGTCTACGTGTTTCACTGCAGGACCTTGGTCATCGACTCAAGTGCTGCACCTTGAGGATAGCGCGGGTGGAGTATCGCTGCCTTCCAGTCCCGTTGCTTTGCGCTTTTGAGCGAAGAAAGTGGCACGCTATTGCACCCCATTCGCCCCGCACACTACAAAGACCGTCCTCAGAAGTGAGTGTACAATTTGTTTGTTTTTAAACACACTCCGCGACTGTAAAGTCGTGAAATTAGAAGTTCTTAAAAGCTAGCTGCTTTGCAAGGGAGGAGAAAAGCACCTTTCGATACGCTCCAAGTAGGCTCCTCATTTTCGCATGTTCGATGTTCTGAGGCGTTTACGTAAGCATGCAGAAGTTAGAAGAAAAAAAAATCAGAGACGCGGGGCAAAGACATCGTTGTTGAATGCGACAGAAACCGAAAAGCAGAGCGCAGATGACCGACATTCAATGTGCGGTCCCACCGATATGAGCGTGTTCGGCTATATACGAATAGGATAAGGGTACCATGCCGCTTATTCACAGAAGGGAGTCAGTCTATTGAGTATCCTTGGAAAATGAGGGTGTAGACGTTTCGGGTCCCATGAGTGACCATGGGGTAGCCGAGTATACCTGCATGCCAGCGCGCATTCGCAGCATTTTGGAAGCAAGTTTCAGCGTTCCGGTGACCTAGAGCAGCACTTTTCAGGACTCCTTTGAGAAAAAAAATCAAGATTAGTATCAGGCTATAAACAATGGCGGACAGCTGGTAGGGAAACAGGCTGACTTCGATATCATGCAAACAAGTTAGCATTTCTTCTGGTCCACCAGTTGAGTCGGCCATCGCTTTCATCTTATAATTGCGCCTTTTTCCACAAAGTGACATGGTCATAAGTCCTTTGGTCGGCCAGCGTGGTCAGATACTTCTACACTTTCCAGGTGTCGACAATTGTCCTTGTGTTGTTCCCCTTCTTGACGCTCTTCTTTTTTTCTGAGGAAAAGCCTCAATTTCAAAGCACTCATGAAATGAATCCTGAAATCCAGCACTACCACCAATACGGGAACCTTGGTCTGTTCCGCCAGACTGTCTTTCTTGGCTCGCAACAAGGAGTTCGTGTAAATATTCCGTTACCCTTTGCATTTCCCATTTCCCCAGCTATTCGCTTCCAGTATTTGCCCCACGAGGGTGGTCATCTCCCGGGTATGCATAGAATGTTTTTAGTATTTCAGGTAATGGAGGAAAACACCCTCACTTCCTGCTGGAGATAGAATCGCGGCTGTTCGTCTTGTCGCCAACATCTGAAATGTAAAGGAATCGGCTCTGTTTCAGCCACTCATCGAATTACCCAGTTTGTGACGATTCGTGATGTCATCCCTAAGTAGAAAGAGCTCTATACTCTGCTAAGTTCAACTTACAGGACTCAAAACTCACTTTCTGGTCGTTTCGGAATCGGTGTATCAAGCCTCGGTGTATCTGACTTCACTAGTGGAGCTTCTTCTAGAAGATAGAAATAACGTGATAAGTTAACATTTTCGAATGAACCAGGCAAGCCAAAAAAGATTTGCTTCAGCGTTCAAAGGGCAACATCCAGCTCTGACGATCTAGTGAGGACTCATTTCAAGAACTTTTGAGCACTCCATCTGGAGGGTCGACGCAGCATAAACTAGGAATACACAACCGCAGCTGGGCTTTCACCCCCCCACGCCACCTGTCCTCCTTCTGATCGCCATATTCGCCATATTTTAATATCGCATATTTATTATTCTATCTATCGCCATATTATGCACTGTGTATCGCAATGCCATCTTTTCTTTTAAAGGCAGTTGGCACGATAAACCCCTAAGACGAGTAGTATTAATACGCCTTGGGACGGTATTTCTCGCCGCTCTGATCACGCGATGCGCTGCGCCTTTTCTAAGGGAGGTAGCCTTACAAGCTATCAAACTTACCAACTAACGACCACATGCCTACCATGGCCGCGCCGCCACAAGAACGACCGTACCTGATAGCGCTCGTACTGTTCATTGGGTAAGGATTGTGCGAGTGGGTGTGCGGTGGCATGGATGTTTTAGAACAAACGTGCGCCCTAACTCCCCGTAGCCCGGTGAAATTGTTAAGCCCATGCGACAGGCGTTCCCGTAACAGTACCCGGAAACCTTCCGTCGATTGTTTAATTGAGTCCAATTCTCGAGAGACCGAAGGCGCTTAGTTTGAGTTCCTGGCGTAAAATTCTCCACCGTACTATAATATCCACTATCCAGTTATTGTTGTCCAACACGAATCGCCCCTCCGTAATAAAGCAAGCCACACTACCCATCTCTGTGGCACTCCTTCTTAGGTTCATTTCCTTAAGTCCTCCTCATAATGCGCTATCGTGCAAATGTAGGCTAGCTTAGGTAAATATACTCGAAGCTCAGTGTAACTGGCTCATCAAGGCTCGCTCCATCGCTTGACTGCCAGGTCTTCCTGACATAAAACATCAGCACAGAAAAGGTTCCGATGGGCGTCTTCTCATAGTATCACGGTAAGTATTTCCTGAACTTAGAAAGATTTCGCCGCTGCATAAGATCCGCACCAGGTAAACTTGGATACCTCTACAAAACAGGCTTAACGGCTGTCTTTAGTATTATGTTCAACGGTAGGGAGGTTATGCGGGTATTAAATAGAAAGTACCATTGCCGAGGAATCACGAAGTATAGCCGCATTGGAAGTGACCAGAGATTCGCCGTACGCTAAAAAGTGGTCTCTCGTCCGTTTATGCTACTCGGTAGACGACGAATGGGCTCCTTTCATGCAGCGGGTGTAGTCTCAGGATGTAGTCGGATAAGAAAGCGTCATGCTCGGCACTGTACCAAGTGTCTGATCAACAACATACCGTGGGATATCTACCCGATGCCCTGGCTTGAGCTAGGCGCACATGGATAGGCGCGCTCGCTAGCTATAACTATGAGTCTGTCGCAACTAATCGTCTGCACCGCTCTAACTCTTGAGTGCAAATTGAACCACTAGTGCTTAGGATATATAGTCAGTTCATGAGAGAAGCGTTGGACTCGTCTCTGCTACGAAGCTGTTCCCGACGAAAGGCCTCACTTGGACAGCTGTGCGATTTTTGCCTCGGACACCAACCATTACTGCATCAGACTTGGCGGTGTTCCCAAAGTTGGGCTCGATTGTGCTCACCGACAACTAGCAGGTCTCTCGCCAGTAACCCTCTTGTGTTAAAGCGTCTCGAAAATTATAGTCCTTGCTGTATATTTCCGTGGGCCGAAAAAACCTTTAGACTGAGACGGACAGAGCATTTTAAAGTGTTTTATGTTTTCTTTCAGAGAACCACTTATATCTATCGATCGTTCTGAAGAAACTATCATATCTGCGCGCTCCAGTAAAAGTAAAAGGAATGATCGAGGGAAAAAAGGGAAAAACCTTCTGCGTTGTTTTCTTCGGCAGGAGTCGGCTCTTCGCTGGCTTCGTTCGTGGGCTCGATCACAACTGACGGTTCTTCTGTGAAGTATACTTCTAAATCTCTTTATGTGACAACAAGAATGTTGAGAAAACTGTGCATAATGTGAATAGGGCTCAACGATGACATTACTTGACGGAGACCTGGTCTTGATTTCGGATAGTGCCGCCTACGGGACGAGTTTCAACTACTGGCGATAGGTTGCATTCAACATACCTTGAGTGCTTAATATGGGAATCTGTGAAGTTGTTGAGACGCTGTTTATGGGATGGAGGCAGATTTTCGCGCCTTTCATTGGCTCCACTTAAGCTCCGGTCTTGCGTAAGTTTCCTTGGTGAGAAGTTTCGTGGTGATCTGTGAAGCTGGAGCAAGCTCAGTGCGAGCACAATGCGTCGACCTATCAACTTACGAAGGCGGCTCTTTAGATGCATCGACACGTTCGATTGGATAGTACGAAAAATGCAATTTTGCCCCCCCCCCCCACACCGTCGCTGACTCCGGCCAGTGCTTTGATGCTTGCGTGAATATTCTTAAGTGGAGCTCCTTGAGCGGTTCCCGACATAATCAGATATCGTCGCCCAATTAGTCCTGGCGTTCGACACGGGCAGTGAGTCGGTGTGCCTGCGTTTGTTCCACATGGTAACGGTTATTTGATTTCCTTTTTGAGTGAAACTACCGTGGTGTGAGAACGCTTGCGAGTGGTTGCGGCCCATCCGTCTTGGAACCGCCCCCGATGCATTGCGCGATATTTTTATCTGTCCATGAAGCCCTCAGAGAGAAAGGTGTCACTAGGGCATGAACGTTTTTCTTTCAGACGGTTAGGATTTCTAGGGTTGCCACATTCTTATATCTGCAGTCCCTGAAAGAACCGAAACAAGTCAAAAGTATCTGAAAATTCTCACTTTTTAGAGCTTTCCTCGTGCGATGCCCACGATAGGCTGCTTGAATTTTCGTCGCTGCTCTTGCGCGTTCTTCTAATTCCTCGTCGTCTGATGGAAGAATTTCCTCCCTATCGTGGTAATCGTCGACTTCGGGCTCAGCAGGTGGAGGCGTCTCCTCGTGGTTGGCAGTTTGGACTCGGGCTTCGGTCTCAATGTGACTATTTGGCTCTTCGTCATCAGAAGGCAAAACCTCCTCGTCATCGCTATGGGTCTCAACGTGATTACTTGGCTCCTCGTCGTCAGAAGGCAAAATCTCCTCGTCATCGCTATTCGCTGTCGCTGGCCTCTCACTGTCTGCTGTCGCTGGCACAGTGATAACGGTCGGAAGGAGAAGGTTCCGATTCTTCTCAGACTTTTCCTCTTCTTGGTCTTCACTGCCTTTCCTCATCGGATGGCAACACGTCCTCTCGATCTGACTGCGCTGTGCGTAATCGAGTGGTTCCAGACGTGCCCGGCAAACGTTCTTCTTCTGCAGGTCTCATTTCTTCAGCATCTGATGGCAGAATCTCCTCATCACTACTTTCCTCTTGATGAGCATCTTCTAATGGGCGTCTTTCAGTTGTCTCATTGTCCGATTCGAAGCCATCCATCGGGTCACTATCATCGTCATTGATGAAATCATCCTCTTCATCATGGTGCTGCGCTGCCTTCTCTTGCCTGATCATCTCTGCTTTCCTCTCAGCGCTCGACATGACACTTCGTCGAGCATCATCTCCTCCAGAAGTCGACGGCAGTTCTTCTTCGGAGATTTTCGACTGCGTTTCTGCTTCTTTACTTCGGGCTGACGATAAACTATTCTCTCGTCCACTGTCCTGATACTGGGCCGATAGCGATAATTCGTCAGAGCTTTCATCATCCTCGGCAATCCGATGCTTTTCGGCTTCTAGGAGAGTCCGTTCCAATTCTTCGTTGAATGCGAACTCATGCTCCTCGTCCATTTTGGGCGTATCGGTCAGGCGGCTGCTGATCGAGTTAGCCTTACCGGAGTCGGTATCTTCCGCTTTGTAATTCGTCTTCTCAGTGGTGATTGCTGAAACCAAGCAGTTTAAGTCAAATTTCGGTGTCTTAGAAGTGATTGGAAGTATTATAGAAAACTGATCGATTATTAGTAATTTTTTCAAGAGCCTTTAGTGAAGTTCGTAAAACCGCTTTGAATACGTACGGTATTATTTTAAAAAAGAATAAGGATAGAAAACATCTTGTGACACACTCGCAGTTGCGCCAAGTATCGTTCCCGGACACCAGTCGACTTAGCAGTGGGAGAAAAAGCGTTAGAAAAAGTTGGAAACATGCAAGGTAATGGACTTTTCACTTGGTTTTCAGTCATGGACCAGGAACGACAGGCGGGTTGGTATTGTGTACGCTGGCGAAAGAACTCGGCGGAAAGATGAGAGGAAAGAAAATACAAGCAAGCTGACAGACATTTCTCCATGCAGATATGACAGCCAGAGGGCGTTCTGGCGTTGGGGAAAAGCAGGATGCAACCCTACTAAGAATTTTCTCTGGTACACTTACCTCCCCCTTCCCCATCAGACCTACCAGCTCCCCGCAAGACTCATAGGTACCATCAAGTGGGTAACGCAGCTGCTTGACGAGGTTGAAAAACAAAGTGCCGGCGCTATCTGAGTAAGTAGTGGCTAAGAAAACAGGGAACTGTCCTCGAACCCTCAGTATCGCAGCTTCGTGATCACTGAGCCAAGTGAGACGTTCAAGATAAACTGCAAGGCATTACTGGTAACAGTCAATTGGAGAGCGGGAAGGGAGACCAGAAATCGACGGGCCAGAGAGCGCAACCGTACTTCACGACGACACGAATACTCAAAGATGGCCGGCATGGAGCTCACAGGCCGGGACGGTGAGCAGCTTCTTGAGCGCTCTCAAGGTACGAAATAGCTCTTTTTCGCTAAGGGCGGACTCAGATTATCTACTCGAGAAGCGTTATGGACTCCTCACTAACCACGGTGTGTCCCTTCAACCCATACTAACTAGGTGTTCGTAAACTAATCGTAGCCGAGGAATTGTGATGTAGCAAGATGCATTCAGTCCAGGAAGAACTTGAATGACCAGCAGAGCAAGGAGTTCTGTTGACCACGCGCACGGTCGTGAAACGAGCTATGAGCACGAGCTCTTTTTTTGTATCCAGGCAACCAGCCAAGTAGTTGTTGACAAACAAACAACCCGTACTTGCACCTGCCACTCCCTATAACTGGCATCATATCTTGACAGTGGTTGTTCCGGTGTATAAAACCTCCTAGAGATTGACCGTCACTCACTCATGCCATTAAACTAGACTTTTCCATGCATCTTATGAAACGAAGGAAAGTACATAGGGTACAACATCGTTGTGCGAACAGGGTACAGCATCGTTGTGTCAAACCCATGGGGGGGTCGTACTTTGGCTCTGGGGAGGGGGGGGGGTCGTATTTGGAAGACAAATTCATTTTGATAGTTTGACTTTTTCTTGTGGAAAAGGGGGGGGGGTCGTATTAATTTTTTTATATGCACTATATGCATTATGCATTTTGTACGCCCGTGGGATATACTGGGATATAAGTTGCATAGTAATTATATACCCCCCCCCCGCTCGACAACTTTTCGGACGTATCATACTCATCGCTTCGGCCGTCGGCGAAGAAGCACGTGCGAGGTGGAGGGGGCGGGGGTGAGGGGGAGGGGTCGTGCCTGCGACCCCATTTGCGAAGAGGGGGGGGTCGTACTCACACCGACATTTCGCACATCCCCATGCTGTACCCTGTGTGCGAAACAAATAGGTGGTTCGTACTTGGCCGCTGTGGAAGTCGGGTCTTACCGAGCAGGGGGTCGTGTGTCGTACCACCCATAGTAGGTTACAGTCGTGATCCCGCAGACGAAGTAGGCGGATTGCGGACTTCATTGCAACGCGACGGCGGCTGTAATCTCCTCGGACGTAAGGTAAACTACAGACTCGCACTTGAGCATCCGGCGTGGGTCCCGGCACGATTACCCTGAAGATGCTGCGCGCGCTCATACGGTCGCACAACCGCGAAGTATGAAAGCGGTCGTATTTTGCATAATCGAAGATCAGGCGCGCACCTGACGAAGCTCAAAGGAAGCAAAACAGATGTTTCAATTTGAATCGCTTTACATGACTTGCACAGTGCTCGTTGTTATAATGTATACATCACCCATTCAAGAGCGAAAACCCTTTTGGTCTCCATTGTGTGTAATCTTTTTTTCAGATGTCAATCACTGTAAGGAATGTAGAAAGTCTCGCCGTACTCAACCAACTTGATGGGTCACATCCAAAAGCTGGCCACAGTGCTTTCACCAGAACGCGTTCACTGATACAACCGGGAATTATTTGAAACAACCAGATCCATTTCCCTGTCGCCGTTTCCCCAGATAGGGTACTCTGTGAGAAGCGTTGCGTATAAAGGTGCCGTTTGCTTCGCATTGCTGAAGGAGCACTGTATAACTCACAAAATGCCACATTCTAATAAGGCATGTAATTGCAGGACCCGCAAAATGAACGTGCAAAATTGATTGAATTGCTACGACATTGATGAAGTGTACAGAAGCTGTTTCCAACTGCTCTCTTGAAGAAGCCATTTCGAGCGCAGAATGCTTAAAGTTAAGGAAGCGGGTACACTTTAGAGGAAATGTCCCCATATTGATGGGCGAGGCGCCTAAACATGATAAGGAGACGTTTGTTCCTCCTTACTCGACTTTACCTCCAGTTCAACGGAAATTTAGTGGGAGACGCCACATCATAAACATTATTGTACAAGATTCGATGCTTTTGTGAGTATAGTGTGGTGATATTCCCATGTTGAGTTCATAGTAGTCAACTTAAGATGCTACTCGCTGGTCGCGGTGGTTGATTATGATGCTCTAGCGCCGAAACCGCGCCGCGAACCCAGCGCGTGCTTTTCGGCAAAGGCCGGATGCTCAAGTGCGAGTCTGTAGTTTACCGTTCACCCTCTCCTCTCTGCACAAGGCTCCTGCCGCCCTCTTCTTCTGGACTTCTGCCTTATCGACGACTATCAGCTGTTTCCAGCCGATAATCTTCTGAATTTCACTATTATTCTGCTTCCTAATCGCCATAATGATGAGGTAAGTCGATTTTATTTACTCTAATTTTAGGCATGATTATATAGATCGTTTTTCGCTGCAATTTGAGCTGTTGTAGTGGTGTTTTTGATGGTTTTAAATTTTTTTGCGTGTTTCTTTAATTATTCTTAAACCGTTGCCATTGCGTTGTCCCTGAAGTGTCCTTAATAGTGTCGAGGACCCTCTCTGACATAGTTTTGGAAGATTAGGTTGCTTAGAATAATTAAACAATTGAGAATAACTAGAAACATGCAAAAAAATTTTAAAACTATCAAAAACACCACTAAAATAGCTCAAATTGCAGCGAAAAGCGATCTAAGTAGTCACGCATAAAATTAGAGCAAATAAAATAAACTTAACTCTCAATCACTGCTGGCCCATAAGGAAGCAGCAATAATAGTAAAATTTAGTTGAATATCGGCTGGAAACAGCTGATTGCGCGGTGCAGCCGTCGATGCGGGCAGTGTCCAGAGAAAGAGAGGCGCGGCCTTAAGCATAGAGGAGCGCAGAGAGCACGAGACTGTGGTGCCTGCTACCCCGCCACGGCACAAATTCAACGAGATTATAGCCACCGACGCGTCGTAATGAAGTCCGCAATTCCGCCTACTTCGTCTGCGGGATCGCGACTGTATGTGTCAGGTTTTGAGAAAAACCAGATAAATGTCTTTGTAAATGAAAGTTTTTGTCATGCTTTTGTTCTGACTCTGGTGGGTGGAGACATAAAACGCATTTGTGCTTTCGTTCTCATCACTAAGATTGAAGGGAGGGGTATGGGTATTTGAGGAAAAGCAGAATAGTACAGTCTGCCAGGCGACTGGAAAGGACTGTGTCTTCGGGCTTTTACTAACTTCTGAATGCCATCGCAGTAGAAATGCATCCAAGACCTCTTCACGACTGCGCGTGGAAGGTGGATTCGTGGTACATTTGAGGTAGATTTGAGCAGGAAGCCAACAGCTGTTTATTATAACTTGACTAGTTTAATTTAAAGATCATCAAGCAGTACGGTATTGCCACATATCAATTTCCTACCCGGTAGCGGCTTCAGAACTTTCTTTCGCCGTGCTCCCGTTGTTCGTCGTGTGTTTCTCTTCAGGGCACTAGTGTATGACCGTGATTTCTTGTCGATTCCGTTTTCATTGAAAGCGCTGCTTGTTGTATTCGACGAATTTGATGCTGAAATGATGCCGGATTAGATCGAAATATGAACACCGGCTAAAGCCTTTTCAAACAGGTGCGGTCGTATTCCTCTTCCGTAATATACATCAACTTTTGCCCTGCTCACGTCAGAGCATCTGCCAATACTGAATTAGCGACACACTCACTCAAGGCACGGTCCGCGATCAGGTATCGAAGTTGAAAATATGGCGTCAGGAGGTTAGAGTGGTCCGCGACGAACAACCTTGTACCGGTTTCGCGGCAAAAAATTCTATGGGAGGGGCGCTATAGCGCAATATAGGTTCAGTGGTTCCTCCTTTTTTCCAGTGACTCCGCCTCCAGACTCCGCCTCCAATGCCCGGCTTTTAGTGAAAAACGAGATTGCAGGACGAAAAATCGTCACTTGTACGATCGTAGAGTTCTTATCGGTGAATCAGCTGTGCGTATGAGGGCGTAGATGGAGTTAATTGGGCACGTACAAACTGGGATCAAAATGGGGTTCTATCTAGGGCAGGTGGCATGTTTTTTGTGCTTTTGTACCCTTTTTTCTTCACTCCATTACTCGACCACCTTATCGTCATACTGGAACCTCTAATCCACTCCGATCGACGCGGTGCCGTTTAGAGACCCTCCTTCGTTCAAAATAGTAATTTTCCACATGACAAAATGTGGAGCTGAGCATCGACCACGAACT